CCACTGGGAGAGCAGCCAGTGCTCTTAACCACTGAGCCATCTCTCCAGCCTCAATGAAATTTTTTTTAAAAAAAAGATGTTAACACATGAGGTAGTATGGTGGCACACAGCATAATCTCAGAACCTGTCAGGCTAGGAAGGAGTTTGAGAAATTGAAGGACTAGCCTGGGCTACAGGTTGAGCATTTGGAAGGCAGAAAAGAAAGCTGGGCAAGGTGGCTCAAATTTGTAATCTCAGCATCCAGGAGGCAAGAAAACCTACCCAGCCCTTTGTTTTATTTTTGAATTTTTTTATTTTATTTTTATTTTACGTGTATGAGTGTGTTGCCTGCATGTATGTAAGTGCACCCATGTTGTGCAATGCCTGAAGAGGCCAAAAGAGAGTGACAGATCCCCTGGAACTGGAGTTACCCTTGTTAGTCACCATCTGGGTGTTGGGTCTGTGCTGGGAACCAAACCCAGGTTCTCTGCAAGAGCAGCCAGTGCTTTTAATGGCTAAGTCATCTCTCCAGTCTATTATTTACTTGTTCAGAGACAGTCTCACTATAGCCCTGGTTGGCCTGGAATGCTCTATGTAGACCAGGCTAGCCTTGAACTCACAGAGATCTACTTGTCTCTGCCTCTCACATGCCAGGATTAAAGGTGTGTACCATGATGCCCAACTTTTTTTTTTTTTTTTTTGAGACAGAGTCTCTCTGTAGCCCTAGCTCCCAGCTGGCCTGGAACTCTCTACATAGACCAATAGACCAAGCTGATCTTTAACTCACAGAGACTTGCCTGCCTCTGCCTCCCAAGTGCTGGGACCAAAGGCGTGTGGCACCATACCAAGTGCCCAACTTTTAAAAAAATTATTGTTTTGTTTTTGAGATAGGCTCCCCACTATATGACACAGACAGGACAGCCATGCAGGCAGTTACTTAGTCTCCTTAAATAATTAATCAGTTAACAGAAACTGATTTACTATTTGAAATTTACCCTTTAATATTTGCTTCATGTGGTGAGTCAATTTAATGGAAGTAAACAACCACTTTGGAAAAGGGAATTCTGAATAAACAGAACAAAGTGATCTATTGACAGATTTTCCTTAAAAGCACACACACCAAAAAAAAAAAAAAAAAAAAAAAAAAAAAAAAAAAGTGAAAAGCATCTGTTAATTGCCAAACAACTTACGAATGCAGTGACGAACAGAATTGCTAAACTTCTCTATGTTCAAAACATGCTATCAAGTCAACTAAACTAAAACTAAACTTTGGTACAGGAAAACTGCAAGCTTCAAAGTCAATGAATACTTTAACCTGCTGCTTCCTCTGCAGAGCAAGCTAACATGTACACTTTTCCCAGTCCTGTTGCTGGTTTGTTAGACAGCCATTACTTATCATTTCTGAATCTCAGTATTTCTAGCTGTAAAAGACAAGAAAACCTGACATAACCATAAAAATTACACGGCAGTGTTCACTTTCCCGATCATGATTATATATTGTTTGAAGAAAGGGAGCAGGGGGCTGAAGAGAAGGTTCAGTGGTTAAGAGTAAGTACAGCTCTTTTGGAGGAACTGAGTTCAGTTCCCAGCACCCATGTCAGGTGGCTCACAACCAGTAAATTCAGCTCCAGGGACCTGACTGCCCTCTTCTGGTCTCTGGACAGAATTCACATGCACAAACCCATAGACAGACACATACATATCCAAAAACTTTGGGTGCTGGCATGGTGGTGAACATCTTTCATCTCAGCATTTGGGAGGCAGAGGCAAGTGGATTTCTGTGAGTTCAAGACCAGTTTGGTCTAAAAAGTGAATTCAAAGATAGTCAGGGTTACACAAAGAGACCCTGTCTTTAAAAGGGGGTTTGGGGGGTGGGGGGCTAAAGAGATGGCTCAGTAGTTAAGAGCACTTCCTGGTCTTGTAGAGGACTCAGGTACAGTTCCCAGCACCCACGTGACAGTTAACACCTGTCTATAACTCCAGCTCCAGGGAATCCGATGCCCTCTTCTGGCCTATGAGGGTATTGTACACATGTGGTACACTTACATATATGCAGGTAAAACACTCATAAAATAAAAATAAATCAGGGCTGGAGAGATGGCTCAGTGGTTAAGAACACTGGCTGTTCTTGCAGAAAACTTGGGTTCGAATCCCAGCACCCACATGGCAGCTAACAAATGTCCATAACTCCAATTCCAGGGGATCCCACAGCCTCTCCTGTCCTCCATGGGCATTGCATGACACGGGTGCACTTACCTACATGCAGATAATGCACGCATACACATAAAATGAAAATAATAAAACATTTAAAAAACAAAATAAGCCAAAACAATTTTAAAATAAAAATTTTTTAACTATTTTACGTGTACGTGTGTATTGCCTGCATGTAGGTAAGTGCAACTACGTTGTGCAATGCCCATGGAGGACAGAAGAGGCCACTGGATCCCCTGGAACTGGAGTTAATGGACAATTATTAGCTGCCATGTGGATGCTGGGATTTGAACCTGGGTCTTCTGCAAAAACAGTGTTCTTAACCACTGGGCCATCTCTCCAGCCCTTAAAATAAAAAAAAAATTTTTTGGTCTTTTTGAGACAGGGTCTCCCTGTAGCCCCAGCTGTCCTGGAATTCACTATGTAGACCAGGCTGGCCTTGAACTCAGAGATCGCCTGCCTCTGCCTCCCGAGTGCTGGGATTAAAGGCATGCACCATCATGCCTGGCTAAAAAAATTTTTTTTTGGTCTTTTTGAGACAGGGTCTCCCTGCAGCCCAAGCTGTCCTGGAACTCACTATGTACACCAGGCTAGTCTTGAACTCACAGAGATCCGCCTGCCTCTGCCTCCCAAGTGCTAGGACTACAGGCGTGTGCCACCACGCCTGGCTAAAATACATTTTTTAAAAACCTCTTTTTAGAAAAAAAAAAAGGTGGAACAGGAGTTAGGAATGTAGCTCGCTTGATAAAGCACTTGCCTTGAGTTCCATCCCCAGCATAAATAGGATGTGTTGTCATATACCTGTAATCTCAGCATTGGTAAGGTGAAGGAGAGGAGGATCAGAAGCTCTAGATCTTCCATGAGTTCAAGGCCACCCTTTGGAGACAGGGGACCTGATCTTGAGAAGCAAAGTACAGTGGTACACACCTTTAATCCCATCAATCTAGAGGCAGGCAGATCTCTGTGAGATTGACACCAGCCTGGTCTACATAGCAAGTTCTAAGCCAGCTGTGACTACAGGGAGACCCTGTCTCAAAGAGACCAAAATAAATAAATATATAAATGAATAAGTAAATAAATAAATAAAAGATGGATAACAGACTGTCTGAAGGCTGGGATAAGGAAAAAGGGCTAGATTTTTGGTCTAAGCGAATGGGGAAAAGGAGCCAGAAATATACTTTGAGGAACCATCATCAAATAAACGAGTCAAGTGACAGAGAATATAAAGAGAAAGTGTCCCAGGAGTAGGCACTAAGATGTTCAACATTTAGACACCAGTAAAGGAAGAGAAGGGACACAGAGAAGTGGCACTTGATGCAGGAATATCCCACAGAGCTAACAGGTTCTAGAGTTTCTGACAACAGCCATTGAGAGCTCAAGAAAGCCAAACCAAGCCAGGCGTGGTGGTGCATACCTTTAATCCCAGCACTTGGGAGGCGGAGGCAGGCAGATCTTGATCGAGGCCAGCCTGGTCTACATAGAGTTCCAGGCCAGGTGGGGCTACAGGGAGACCCTGTCTCAAAAATAAATAAATAAATAAATAAAAGAAAGCCAAACCAGACAGCCTGAGTTACATAGTGAGAGATGCTCACTCAAAAAATTAAAGGTTTGGGGCTGGAGAGATGGCTCAGTAGTTAAGGGCACTGGCAGAGGACCCAGGTTTGATTCCCAGCACCAACACAGTGGCTAACAACCATCTGTAATTCCAGATTCAGGGGAATACAACACCCTCTTTCTGACCTTCACAGGCATTGCAGGACACAGGTGCACTTACATATGTGCAGGCAATACACTCATACACATAAAAATAAAAAACAAAACTTGAAAAATGTGTTTAAAAAAAATGAAGTCCAGCATGGTGGCAAACACCTGTAATCCCAGCACTCGGGAGGCAGAAGCAGGAGGTCAGAACTTTAGCGTCCAAAGCCAGCCTGGAGTACTAGGGCTCTGACTTAAAAAAAAAAAAAAAAAAAAAAAGTTTAAGAAACTAGCAGATATAAGAAAGGCAAACAACAACAACAACAACAACAAAAACTCATAAAGGAACATGAATGAGGATTAAACAGAATTTAGGTATGTCAACCGTGTAAATTCCACAAGCAGAGCAAACTTCAATTTGCATGTGGTACAATGAACAAGCACAAAGAAGACTGTATGGAGGGGCTAGAGATGTTGTTCAGTGGTTAAGAGCAATTGCTGCTCTTGCAGAAGCCTGGGTTTGGATTCCAGCACCTACATAGTAGCTGACAACTGCCTGTAACGCCAGTGTTTCATCATAACAACAGAAAGAAAACTACAACACCTAGCATGTTCAAGACACTGAGTACTAGCCTCAGCATCACAAAGAGTATGATAATGACTGCAGATGTGGCTCAGTAAAAGAGCGTTTGCCTAGTATGTGTAAAGCATTGCGGACCATCTCCCAGCATCACAAAATGACAATGATGGTGGTTACGGCTAGGGCTACAGCTCGGCAACGAAGTGCCTAGCACGTGTAAAACGCTGGGTACCGTCCCCACAACCAGAAAAGCAAAAAACCAAAAAGCAATCCCTCCATCTACCCATCCCTCCCACACTCCCTCGCCCACAGCACGGGGTGCATGTGAAGCCCCGGGGTAACCAGATTCCCAAGGTATCTCCCCTGCATCCGGATCACTGGGAGTTCCGGCCCGCCCGCCCCGCCTACCCGCCATGGCCGAACCGCCCCTAGGGACTTCCGGCCCTCTCGCCCCACCCATTCGCCATGGCCGCCCAGCGGTCGGGGCTCCAGGGCCCTAGGCTCCGGTCGAAATCGCGCCCAGGTGGCTTACACTTCCATGTTGCCTCCGACTTGTCTTGCAGGGCAGCTGGAAGAGAAGGACCCTGACGCTGCGCAGCAGTGCTGCGTCACTCTGTAGGCCGCAAGGCACTGTGGGACGGCCGTGGTGCTCGCCGGGATCGCCGCGGAGCGTTGCGAGGAGCCTCAGCGTTCCTGGGCGTGTCCTTTACCTAGAGTGATTCAGCCTGTCCGGCGTTTGGGAACGGAGTTTAAACGTTTTCTTGCTATAGTTTTTGTCAGAGTTTCAATAAGCTAAGGTTCCGGCCTTGACCACGTTAAAATGTCTCTCCTAAATGCGGTGTGGTGACACACCTATGACCCCAGCACTAGGAGCCTGAAGCAGGAGGGTTGCCTCGAGCCAACTTTGGCTATAGTGACTATGTCAAAAAACAACGGACACTGCTGGCCCATACTGTAATCTCAGCACTTGGGAAGTGGAGGCAGGAGGGTCAAATTAAAGGGCATCCTCTAGACCATGAGTTCGAGGCCAGCCTGGGATACACCGCCCTGTCGAATAAAACCAGGCGTGATGGCTCCCGCCTTTAATACCAGCAGAGGCAGGTGGCTCTCAGAGTTCGAGGCTAGCCTGGTCTACATAGTGAGTTCCAGGCCAGCTGAGGCTACAAGGAGACCCTGTCTCAAAAACACCAAAAAACAAGCAAAAAAACCAACAACAAAAGATTTATAATAAGGGGGCTGGGAAATAGCTCAGGGGTTAAGAACACTTGTTCTTGCAGAAGACCCAGGTTTGAATCCCAGCATACACATGGCAGCTAACAACTGTCCATAACTCCAGTCCCAGGGGATCCAACAGACTCTTCTGACCTCTGCAGGCATTGCACATCTCCGGTGCACTTACCTACATGCAGGCAATACACACATACACATAAAAAATAATAAAAATTTTAAAAAATAGGAAATACAGTAGCAGGAAAATCCACAGAGATAGAAAGATTAGTGGTTGGATAGGGCTAAGAAGAGGGGGAAGAGATGGAGAGAAACTTAAGTACTGAGTTTCTTTAGGAAGGGACAAAAATGTTTTTAAATCTATTGTGGGAAGTTTGTCATGATAAATATACCTGTTATCCCAGCACTAGGGAGGCTGAGGCAGGAGGATTGCCATGAGTTTGAAAGCAGCCTGAACAATGTGTTGAGTTCCAGGTCACTTGGGTTAAGTAGGAAGATCCTGTCTCCCAAATAGCAACAACAGAAACTATGTGGAAATGAGTGCATAATTCTAGGAATATACTAAAAAACACTGGATATTGGAGGTGGAGAGATGGCTTAACAGTTAGAGAACATTCTTTCTTTGCAGAGGGCCCCAGTTCAGTTCCCAGTACTCACATGGGGCCCTGTAACTCCAGTTCAGGGGAATCAAATAACCTGTCTGGCCTCTTGGGGCAACTGTACTCACATGCATAGACACACACATGGACATAATTAAAAATAAATTTAAAGAAAACAAAAAACCTGGGGCTGGAGAGACGGCTCAGTGGTTGGGAACACTCACTGGTTGTTCATGCAGAAGACTGGGGTTCGAATCCCAGCCCCCACATGGTAGTTCACAACTGTCCATAACTCCAGTCCCAGGGGATCCAACAGCCTCTTCTGACCTCCACGGGCATTACCCAGCATGGGTGCACGTACCTACATGCAGGCAATACACGAATACACATGCAATAAATAAATAATTTTTAAATATTAAAAAAAAAAAAACCTATTGAGGGGCCAGAGTGATGGCTCAGTGGTTAAGAGCACTGACTGCTCTTGCAGAGGACACAGGTTCGATTCCCAGCACCCACATGGTGGCTATGAACCGTCCTTAACTCCAGTTCCAGGGGAATCCAAACCATCTTCTGACTTCTGCTGCATTGCACTTACATACATGCAGGCAATACACTCATACACATACAATTTAAAAAAAATAAAAAAAAAAACCTCTTGAATTGCTTACTTTAAACCAGGCATGATGATGCATGCCTTTAACATCAGCATGTGGGAAGCAGAGGCAAGTGGATTTCTGCTCTGTGACAAGGCCAGCCCAGTGTGGTCTGCATAATGTTTCAGGCCAGCTGGGGCTACAGAGAGACCCTGTCTCAAATAATAACCAAACAAACAAATAGTTGGAAAGTAAATAAAATGTCACTCTGGGCTAAGGTGACCTGATCTACATTGGAGATTCCCCTGTACCTCCTTGAGGAGAGAGCCCCTGCCCCCGAAAGATATTATTGTGTTATTCACTCAACAAATGGGTTGATGATCTACTGGATGCTAGTGATTCAGATATGAATGATGCACACTCCCTGTCCTCGCTAGCTGACATCCTAGTTGGAGGACCAGTTCTGCACATACATAACTAGGACACACTGTGTTTAGACTCTGTAGAATAGAAGAGGGAATGACTAACGAAGCAGAGAGGCACCCCAAAGCCAGAGTGTCTGAGGTGAGTAGAAGGAGAAGCATTCAAAACCCAAGCTTCGAGAATGGGCTTCTGTGGAAAGCCAGCAGGTGCTTCTGAGGAACACACCTTAAAATGGCTCTGGGTGAATTAAAGTAGGAGACTTAATGTAGGTTGCACCCATGTTCAAAAAGCATCCACTGGAGCAACTGCTGAGTACCTTCATCCTTTCTGAAATATCAGTGATTGTCCTGAACTAACTAGCTTTTGTTTTGGTTTTGTTTGTTTTGAGACAAGATCTCATGTCACAGACTGACCTCAAACTGGCAATGTAGCTAAGGATTACCTTGAACTCCTGATTCTCCTCCCAAGCGCTGGGATGACAGGTGTTTGTCACATACCTAGCTTATTTGGTGCTGGAGATGGAACACAGGGCTTTGTGTTTTCTAAGCAAACATTCTACCAACTGAGCTACATCCTCTGCCCCCAAACTATTAGCTAAGTACCCTCCTTGACCTTGGTGAAGCTGTTAAGAAATGGGTCTGGAATCTCAAAAAAGAGACCACACAATCCAGAGTATTTGGACAAGGCAAAAGGTTTTCTTTCTGCAAAGGGATGCATACCTGTGTCAAATCAAGCAGGCAAACACACCCAGTGGAGGTCCCTCTGGGTTTTTATTTCTCATACAAAGTGGTCCTGTGCCTTACTGTGAGTAGTCAGAGGTCACTCTCACATTTTTACACAATTGGCTAATTTAAAGCTATGCAATTGACAAGCAGAATGCAATCTTCAATACTGAGTGCAGCGCTGAGCACAAATTTTGATTTTAAGAAATGCTGGCCCTGGAGCCAGGCATGGTGACGCATGCCTGTCGTTACTTGAGAGGCAGAGACAGGCGGATCTCTGTGAGTTTGAGAAGAGTCTACATAATGAGTTCCAAGCCAGCAGGGGCTACTGGGAGACCTTGTTTCCAAAAAAAGACCAAAAAAGGCTTTGGGGGGCTGGAGAGATGGCTCAGCGGTTAAGAACACTGGTTGTTCTTGCAGAACACCCACATGGCAGCTAACAACTGTCCATAACTCCAGTTCCAGGGGATCAGACAGCCTCTTCTGACCTCTGAGGGCATTGCATGACACGAGTGCACTTACCTACATGCAGGCAATACAGGCATACACATAAAAAATAATATTTTTTAGAAAGACTAAAAAGAAGGAGGAGGAGGAGGAGGAGGAAGAGGAGGAGGAGGAAGAAGAAAAAAGAAAAGAAAAGAAAAAAAATACTGGCCCTGGAAGAACTTGAATTTCTGCCAAGCAGCTTCTTTATGTTTTTTTTTTAATTGAGTTTTGTCTTATTTAATCTTTTAATAGAAAAGTGAATATATTTTGTTTACATTTCCCACACTATGAGGAAGAAATTGATATAATTAGAATAATATCAATAACAACAATAACCTCTGGTAAATATTAACCTCTTAAAATCAAGTTTGGAGGAGCTGGAGAGATGGCTCAGCAGTTAAGAGCACTGACTGCTCTTGCAGAGGACCCTGGGTTCAATTCCTGGCACCCAAATGGCAGCTAACAACTGTCCATAACTCCAGTTCCAGGGGATCCGACGCCCTCTTCTGACCTCCGTGGGCACTGCATGACATGGGTGCACTTACACACATGCAGGCAATACACTAATATACATAAAATAAAAATAAATAAAATATTAAAAAAAGAAAAGAAACCACACAGCATGTAACAGTCACCCATAACTCCAGTTCTAGGGGATCCAATGCTTTCTTCTGACCACTTTGGGCATTGCATGGCATGGGTATACTTACATACATGCAGACAATACACTCATACACATGAAAATAAAATTAATAAAAATTTTTTAAATTGAGTTTGGGGCCAGAGAGTCAGCTCAGTTGGTTAAGGACCTGTCAATGGAAAAAACAAAAAACAAAAACTTTTCTCCTCAAAGGGGATAAGAGAAAGGTTATTCTGAAGCCTGAAGCCAAATAGGAGTGATCAGGTCCCAGGAGAATAGATTCAGGTTAGCCGAACTTCCACATTCCAACATGGTAACAGTTTGGTGAAGTTTTTGTAGTAACAGAACAAAGAAAATAATAAAGATACTTTTCAAATGCATTGGTGGAAACATCAAGCAGGAGGCTTACAGAAAAACAGGTAGATCTCACCTATAGGTCTAACATGCTATCTGATCACATTCTTAGCCTTTTGGTTGGTGGAAGCTAGTGGTCTGTTTGCACATTCCAAAAGATTTACCTGATAGTCACAAAGATGTTAGATTACATAGAGGTGAGTGATAAATGACTATAATGGGCCAAGATAGCACAAGATAATTTATAGTTAGGTCCTGGACATGCAACATTCCAACCTTTACACAAGCACTAAAGTTCTAATCGGCCTGTGGTCAAGCAGTTGGGTGTTCTTTCCAGCAATTTTTGCCCACAGGTGCTTGCTGCCAAGTCTGAGAGCCTGAGTTTGATCCCCAGAACCCACATGGTGAAAGCAAGAACTAACTCCTGCAAAATGTCCCCTGACCTTTGCACATGGGCCCCAAGGATCAAATTCAGGTCATCAGGCTTGGGAGCAGGTGACTCCACCCACTGAGCCCTGTCTCTGGCCTCCCTCACCCCTCTTTTCTTCAGTGTTGGGAATGGAACTTAGGGCCTCCCATATGTTAGGCAAGCTCTGAGCTGCA